ATATAAATTTAAAAATATGCTTATAAATACTTTGTAAATATAAAATAGGTATATGAATATTTATAAATGATTACATAAAATTTATATGAATTATACGATTTGTATCTAGACGAAGTAGTTGGGGGTATGGGCTTTGGGTGCGTTGACATGCATATGAATGAGGTACTCTTAAGTGAGTTGTTTGCTCCCTCTAGAAATTGTCTAGTCTCTCCAGAGTCAGCAAGGCCCTAGGTGTCAACACATCAGGAAATTAAAAGGCATGGCTAATACAAAAAAACCCATGTGAATTCAGTAAGTGCCAACTGTTTACCATAAGGTGATGTGTATCAACTGCAGTTTTAATTCCATAAAATAGAGTTGAAAATTTACATCTTGGTAGTCAATTACAGCCTACATGCAGGCATTCTGGACATTTTCTCTATTCAATGATAAACCTAGCTCATTCTGTATGCATGAATTGGCATGTTCTTTGGGTTTAAATTTTTATCTCTCCAACACTTCTGAGTTGTCTGATGGTGAGTCCAGGTCTACGAAGTTTCTGTCCTTATCTTTCACCTCCCTTAAATAATTTCTCTCTAGGATTGTGGAAACAAAATTTATGGGAATCATCTAGAGGGCAATATCACCCAATATCAGACATAAAAATATTCTGAATTGGTGGTTAAAGTAAGATGATGGGGTGCCTGGGTGGTTCAGTGGATTAAAGCCTCTGCTTTCACTTTCAGCTCCAGTCATGGTCCCGGGGTCCTGGGATCGAGCCTTGCATCAGGTTCTCTGCTCAGCGGGGAGCCTGCTTCCCTTCCTCTCTCTCTGCCTGCCTCTCTGCCTACTTGTGATCTCTGTCAAATAAATAAATAAAATCTTTTTTAAAAAAAGTAAGATGACATTATCATTACGTTGTCTTCTAAAATAGGTCTGCAGAAAATGCTAATTGATAGATGGGTGTCAAGTAGGTCATGCAAATTGGAAAATCCATCTTTTTTTTTTTACATTTGATCCCCAAAAGCAAGGGAACTATAAAGTCCCCTATTCCGTTAACAGTTATTTGGCAGTTTAACTGTGCAAAGTATTTTCATATCTCTTTTCACAACATTTTTATCTTTATTGTGAAATATAATGTATATACACAAAATGTATAAACAAACATATACAATCAATGAATAGTTATGTAATCAGTGTTCACACATTTACAACCCAACTGCAGTAAAAGATGCTTGCCAGATCCAGAAATGTCACATTCGCGTTTCTCATCACACAGGTTAATTCTCCAGACTTATCCAGTATCCCGAATTTCTGACAATCATTTACCAATTTTCTTGACAATTTTTTTAAACCCATGTATATCTATCTATATACCCCTAAACAATATAGTTTAGTTTTGCTATTAGACAAAATTAACTCTATTGATATATATAATTCACATAAAATGACCTCATTTGAAGTTATATATATTTGATGAATTTGGCATGGAAGCGCAACCACAATCAAGATGTAGAACATTTCCATGACTCCCTCAAAGTTCCCAGTCAACCCCCCATCCCCAATTCCAGACAAGTATATTCTGCTTTCTGTCACTATAATTAGCTCTGTGTAGAGAAGATCCTATAGTTAGCTAGTCCTTTTGGTCTGGCTTCACTCCCTGAACATGCCTTTGGGAACCACCCATGCTGCTGCACGAATCAACACATTTCTTTTTCATCTCTCAGTTGTAGTTCGTTGCATAGATGTTACTATTTGTTTATCCATTCACAAATTGATGGACATTTTAGTTATTTGAGATTTGAGGCTATTACATACAAAACCTCTATGAACATTAGCATTTCACATTTTTGAACTTTTTCTCCACAACTTTTAAATTGAAAAAATTTAGATCTACAGAAAGGTTGCAGGAATAGTCCAATGGACTTGTGTGCCCTTCATCTAGATTCACCATTTATTAACTCTGTGCTAGATTTGCTTTTTTTTTTTTTAAAAGATTTTATTTATTTATTTGACAGAGAGAGATCACAAGTAGACGGAGAGGCAGGCAGAGAGAGAGAGGGAAGCAGGCACCCTGCTGAGCAGAGAGCCCGATGTGGGACTCGATCCCAGGACCCTGAGATCATGACCTGAGCCGAAGGCAGCGGCTTAATCCACTGAGCCACCCAGGTGCCCCCTAGATTTGCTTTAATGAACTATTATCTATCATCTATCTATCATCTATATGCCTATCTGCTTATCTCTCACACACTCTTCATTGTTCATCCATTTGAGAGTAGGTAGGACAAATTTTTTTTTAACATTTTATTTATTTATTTGATAGAAAGAGACAGCAAGAGAGGGAACACAAGCAGGGGGAGCAGGAGAGGGAGAAGTAGGCTCCCTGCTGAGCAGGGAGTCCCATTCGAGGCTCCCCAGGACCTGGGGATCAAGACCTGAACCGAAGGCAGATGCTTAACGACTGAACCACCCAGGCGCCCCCACAAATTGTTTTGGATACTTGATTTTGCTTATGGAGAGATAGTTTTGTAGTCTTGTGTGTATGTGTGTGTGTGTGTGTGTGTGTGTGTGTATGCGTGCATGTGCGTATGTTTTCTCACAAGAATAAAATATGAAAGACTCATCCAAGCTGTTGTACACAGCTCTTGTTGGCTCATCTTCATGGATGTATGTTTTCTGTTTTTCTGTCATACCGATATATCGCAGTTGTATTCTTCTAACCTACTCAGGTGGGCATTTGATTATTTTCAGTTTGGGCAATTACAAAAAACTGTGAAGGCATAAACATGCAAACAAGCATGCGACTGGGTTGGATATACACTTACTAGTGCAACCCCAAGGGTGTTTGTGTTCTCAGCTTTGTTATTTGTGCTGAACTGTTTTCCAGAATTTTTGCAACAATGTACACTCACACCAGCAGTGTATGAATGTTCCAGTTTCTCCATATTTTCACCAACACTTAGTGACGGATTTAAAAATATGCCCCAATCGGATATGCACATAGTAATATCTCCTTATTCATTTAGATTGCATCTTCCTGATCCCTAATAAGCATGAGGACTTTTTCCTGTTTAAAAAATTATCAGGATTTTCAATAGGAGAAAAACTATCATATGATCTCCCTGATATGAGGAAGTGGAGATGCAATGTGGGGGGTTTGGGAGATAGGAGAAGAATAAATGAAACAAGATATGATCGGGAGGGAGACAAACCATAAGAGACTCTTAATCTCACAAAACAAACTGAGGGCTGCTGGGGAGACAGGGGTAGGGGGAGGGTGGTGGGATTATGGACATTGGGGAATGGTATGTGCTATGGTGAATGCTGTGAAGTGTGTAAACCTGGCGATTCACAGACCTGTACCCCTGGGGCTAATAATACATTACATGTTTATAAAAAATAAAAAAAATTTAATGAATAAGAAAAGGAATTAAAAAAATTATCAGGATTTTAAGATGCATGTGGAAACACTGTGATATAGACCGCTGTGGTCATAACTGCATAAAATGCGTTTGCGTGTGGCTAAGGATTGCAACGCAATACGCAAAATAGGTGATATATTAATTTCCTGGGGCTTTTATAACAAAGTATGAGTGCTTTAAACCACAGATATTTGTTGCCTCACAGTTTGGGAGGACAGAAGTCCCAGATCAAGGTGTCAGCAGATCAGTTCTTTCTGGTGGGCGTGAGAAAGCGGCCTGCGGCCAACCACTCTCCTGGCTTCTGTGATATTTTGGCAATCTTTGGTGTTCCTTGACTTGTAGAAACTTCACCTCAACGTCTACTTTTATCTTCACATGATATTTTCCTTGTGTGTAATTCCCATTTTTTTGGTAAGGACACTACTCATATTGGATGAGGGGCCCACTCTACTCCAGTGTGACTCGATCTTAACTGATTACATCTGCAATGACCCTATTATCAAACACCGTCACATTCTGAGTTCCTGGGGGTAAGAGCTTTCACACATGAATTTGGGGAGGACGAGGGTTACAACTCAACTCATAGCAGATGGCTAGGTGATGTTTCTTTTTCTCTCAAGTGCATAGTATTGATGTTGGCAACACAGCAGAGAATAATGGGGAAGACTGCTTGGTGTAAGAAAGGATTGATTTACATCCTAGCTGTGCTTTTTATTAGCCTTGTGTTTTCACCATGCCAAGCTTTTCATTTATTGAACAGTCACTATTTTGGACATTTTTGTGTGTGTGTGAAGATGAAATGAGATAGAGTACGTAAAGGGCATTTCATCATGTTTGACAAACAGAGGGCAGTCAATAAATGCTAGCTCCTTCTTCCTTATATTCAACATTTTAAACCTTTAAAATAATAAATAGGTAATTAGCTAGCTAGAGTAATGCATGCATGCATGAATGAATGAATGAATGGGAAGTGGGACTGGCCTCAGTAGCCAAGAGAAGAATCATGCAAATTATTTCCTGGGGTGCCTGGGTGACTCAGTGGGTTAAAGCCTCTGCCTTCAGCTCAGGTCATGATCCCAGGGTCCTGGGATCGAGCCCCACCATCGGGCTCTCTGCTTGGCCGGGAGCCTGCTTCCCTTCTTCTCTCTCTGCCTGTCTCTCTGCCTGCTTGTGATCTCTGTCTATCAAATAAATAAATAAAATCTTAAAAAAAATTATTTCCTAAAGCCACATGTCCACAACTGGGCAAACCTAAGATAACTGTTCGCAGAAGCTGTTAGAAGCCAAGATTGGCAATGGTTTGAGTACAGGAATTTGGATTCGGTTCTGTGTTGTCTTGTGTTTTAACCTCCTCAGGCAGAGATCAAGTTTTCAGGAGAAGTTTGGTGCCCACTGCCTTTGCTCTAGGTGCCCAGGTCCCTTCCCCTATCAGATTACTTGATTGTCGGCCATCTAGAGATCTTGGGGCCCCACACTGAGCCAGGAAGGAAGACAAGTGTGCGAGGGTTGGGGAGGAGGGTGCTTCCTTCTAAGAGCTGGGTAGATCACTCAGAAAACCCTGCAGGGCAGGGGAATCTCAGAGCTGAGTAAACTGCAGCCATGGTCGAAGCCAGGCAGTCCCCAAACCCCAATGAGATTACAGCATTGAGAACAAAACTCCCCCCGCAGCCGGGGAACACTGGTGAGTCAAGGAGCTGGGACCAGGGGCCCTTTACTTCAACAAAAGATGGGTGCTGGGTTGCTCTGATTCCCTCATAGATTAGAGGAAGGGAATACCTGAGATGTGAGTCTTCCTGAAGCCCTTTCTCATCCCCCTGGCCTTCACCCCCATGACTTCTTATCTTAGAAGGATGGGCTTTTTTCCCAGCCCTTTCTGAGCCCTCCCTATCAGGTGGGTCCAGCAGTGAACCCAGAATACCCCAGGGGATATGGCAGTTTCCTGCAGACTGTCTGAGGCATCTCAGGGGGCAAGAGAGTATATATCCTTGGGGAAAGGGAGGCTGACCTGGTTTCCTCCAGGGCGATGGGGACAGACATCCCAGGACAAGACCTGGAAGTATCTCTGCCTCTTCGTGTCCCTGACCCTGCTTCTCGTGGTCATTATCTCCAGTGTGGTCCTGTCTGAAGGTAAGGCATGTGGGCCAGTGGGAACAGGGTGACCACAGGGAAGCAAGCACACTAGCTCCCAACCTGTAAAGGCAGGTCTACAAGGCCAGTGTGGGGGTGGCTGGTCTGTGTCCCTAGAGGGATCATAGTGATAACAGAGTGGAGCTCACCTACACATCAGTCTCAAAGGCATTTGGGAGCTGTATGGACTGAAGTCAGTCTGAGTCATTTGTGAGTGTCTCCCCAAAGTTCATCCCTGACCTGGTCTAAAGCTCCAGGCTCCCTGCTAACAACTATAGAGAGCTAGTTCAACAGGACCTCCTAAATAGAAGTCCTGCCTCACTGCTCACTAGTTGGTGCCTTGGACAGGGCCTCTACCTCTTTCTCTGGGCCTCAGTTTCTTCATCTGAAAAATGGGTGGGGGAGGAATTTTGGAGCCTCAGAAGGCCTTGCCCTGGGAATGGGAGAAAGCCTTGGCTTTGAGGAACAGGGAGAGACCCCAGGGAAGTTCTGGGGTCCAGGATATCTGGTTGCACCTCTCCCCAGTACTGAAGAGGACAAAACAAATGCAGAAGGAAGTCTTCCAACTCAAAGAAAAAGGTGAGTGGGGTTCAATATGTTTGGCCTCCTGCCCCTCAACCATATCTCCTCTCTCTGCCAAGACCTTCACCAGCCCTTTCTCTTTGGGCCTCCCAGTATCTCAGGGACTGGGAGATGCTGGGCACGACCGGGACTTCATGCGGGGAGAAGTGTTCCGACAAATGAAGGCTGTACTGGCAGGCAACGGTAAGGAGAGTAGGTGGAGAGGGAAGAGGCTGTATTCCCTTCAGCATCTGTTAACATTGGGCCTGCCCACAGCAGTGGCTCTCAGAGGGGCACCCCAAAGCCAATGGCTTCTCAGATCTTCTTAGGAAGTTCAGGTGACATGATCAGATCATATTTGTATTGGAGGGCTCCCAGGAAAGCAAGACCTTTGAGACAGCAAGACCTCTCTGGGCTTGTGGTTGTATATGACCTTGGGCAACCCATTTAAACCATTCTGGGCCTCAGTTTCTTCAGCTGTAAAATGGGGATAATCCACAGTATTTTCTCCAAGACAGGCGGTCAGGATCCAGAGCTGCCACTTTTAATAACACACTGGTGTGTTACAAAATGTGGTCGGTTCATAGCAGCATGTTACAAGTCCTGGAGAATTCGCCACAGTGTACATTCCTTGTTCCCAAACAACCATTGGGATCAAATGCTTCTGAAGGGGGTGCTCTCAGCGTCACACCTTTTTTATATAAGTGGACGAGTGGATATCATTCACAAAATATACAAGCAAATCTCATTATTCATGTAGCTATGTTTTATAAAATCCCTGCAAATGATAAAGTGGTGCATATTGAATCATTGCTCGTAGAGGGGAAATAACAGCATTAGGTTTATTGAAGCCTCTGGCCATAACGTTTGGTCAACCGATCAAGACATAACCCTGTTTTTGTGTGTTTCTGTTTAAATAGCTACTGTTTCATTAACATTCAACTCATGGCCAGCGGCACTATCACTCATGTCTGAAAGAAACTTATGTAACGCACATACATTTTCTCAATAAGGCATATTACAACCTTCGTGCTCATTTAGGAACACCGACAGCACTTCTGCCTTATACTTGAGGGTCGGGGTTCTTTTTATTTTTAATTTTATCTTATTTTTTACGATTTTACTTATTTATTTGAGAAAGAGGGAGATAGAGAAAGAGAGAGAGAGCATGAGTGGGAGGAGGGGCAGAACGACAAACATATTCCCCACTAAGCACAGAGTCCAATGCAGGGCTGAGACCGTGACTTGAGCCGAAGTCAGACTCGTAACTGACTGAGCCACCCAGGCACCCCAAGAGCCTTTTTAAACAGCAAAATCACCGACAGAAAGCATAAAAATGTGAAAATCGTAGCACAAAATACCCCATGGAAAGAACATTTGTTTACAGTCTGAGAGGTGGAACAAGAAAGCAGAGCTTTGCCTTATTTTACCTCAGACTCAAGCTTTTTGTTGCTGTATGCATCTCTGTGAGTGACAAGGAAAGCTTCGTAAGTATTGATTTTGGGGTTACCAATATATTTGAGTCAGTAGGAGAATTTGCAAATATGGAATCTGCAAATAAGAAGGATTAATTTGGGGTGCCTGGGTGGCTCAGTGGGTTAAAGCCTCTGCCTTCAGCTCAGGTCATGATCCCAGGGTCCTGGGATCGAGCACCGCATCGGGCTCTCTGCTTGGCGGGGAGCCTGCTTCCCTCTCTCTCTGCCTGCCTCTCTGCCTGCTTGTGATCTCTGTCTGTCAAATCAATCAATCAATCAATCAATCAATCTTAAAAAAAAAGGATTAATTTGTGTGTGTGTGTGTGTGTGTGTGTGTCTGTTCACTAACTGGATATAGATGAATGAGACGAGAATCCCCTCTATCACTCCTGAGCCCTAGCTGCCAAGTTCCTACCTAACTCTCAGGAACCACTGTAATTATATTATGTGGTTATATGTGTTTTCCCTTAGAGCACAGTTTCTTAAACTAAGCACTATTGACCTTCAGGCTGCATCATTCTTTGCAATGGGGGACAGTGGGGGATTGTCCTGTGGATTGTAGGGTGTTTGGCATCATCTCTGCTGTTGACCCACCACGTGTGAGAACCCTGCCTGAGGTCAGAAAACTGAAAGAGGTCTCAGTTGTTGCTCAATGTCCCTTGGGGGAAGAATTGTCCCTGGTTGAGAATCACCACTCTGGAGTTTCTTCAAGCAAATGAGGATGTCAAACACACGTCCCTCTATTTTATACAAAAGTAGGATATTAACTCCACAGTGTTCTTTGGATCTCTTTTCCCCACCTCATAGGATATCCATAGCATTTTACTATTTCCTTCTGATACTACTCAGTGATGGGAAGCACCAACTTACCAGGTAGTGAATTTCCAGCTGCTGGGTGTGCTCAAAGGGAGGCCACTGGGAATGTGACCAGGGGGTGATGGTTAACACAGCTCTTCACTGGATGGAAAACTGGACATGCCGATTTTGCTAATGGCTCCATTCCCACAGAAACCTCTTGTGAGCCTTGCCCCCTGGGCTGGAAGGTCTTTCAGGGCTCCTGCTACTTCTTCTCCCCGGACAAGCTCACCTGGACCCAGGCTAATGATTCTTGTGTCCAGAAGCAAGCTCACCTGGTTGTCATCAACAGCCGAACAGAGCAGGTGGAAAAAGGGAAAACCAGAATCTTAGCAGGGTGGGGGAGGTATTATAAAAGAATTTGGGGGTTCACATTTCTGTCTCTTTTGGGATCTAGCACAATACTTCTAGTATGCTCTTCAAGACCTGCCTCCTCTTGCCTCTACCCAACCTCACTGCTATAACATGCAGGGAATGGACTCTCTGCTCTGTGGTCCTGCCTCCAAGCTCTGATCCATTAGGTCCCTCTGCTTGGAGCACTCTTACTCTTGCTATCTGTGTGGACAGCTTTTACTCACCTGTCAAAACCCCAATGCAAACATCCCTTCTCCATATTCTCTCATGACATCATCAGAGGTTTCATTATAGAACTACACACTGCATCAGGTTTGCCTGCTTATAAGCCTGGGGCTGGATCTAAACAATCTCAGGAACAAGGCTTGGCTCGAAGTAGGGCATCAAGAATGTCCTTGGAGTTGGGTTTCCAGCCAGAGATATTCCTATGGCCTACAGATCAAACCCCTTGCTCTGACATGCATTGACCTTAAGAAGCATTCACAGCCAGTATTTGCCCAGTACTTCTTTCTACATACATATACCTCACACAATTGATTCTTCTGATCTGGAGGATATACTAGGATGTACTCTTCTGATCTGATCTGATTCTTTTTTGCTTTGTACAGATGGGGACACCAAGGGGTGGGTTACTTGTTTGAAGACATACAACATGCTCATAGTGGGTCTGGAGTTCACATCAGGATATAAAGTACTGTGCATGGCTGTCTCTGTCTGCTGCCCACCTGAGAGCTCCTCTGTACCTCAGTCCTCTTGCAAACCCCAGACACTCCAACCTCTGTCCTTTCAGCTTTGATGGAATTTTACCTCGAAGTATGCCTTTTTCCTTCTAGGATTTCCTGACATCAACTGGGCAGGTGACATCCTGGATAGGCCTTTTCAAAGAGGGCCAGAAAGGCAACCATAAGTGGATGGATGGCTCAACCCCCACCTACATGTGAGTCTCCCTGTCTGCAATGCAGGTGTCCCTAATCATCCACGACAGTCCCCTACCCCCAAGAGATTGGCAGGACTTTTGATGAGTGAGTTGATGACCACTCACTATTTACCTGCAGCAACTCCCAGACAACATGCCACACTTTCTACCAGACCAGCTATTGTTATTTTGTTACTTGGGGAGAGTATTCCAATTTAAATGCTCGAGAAACGATAGATTCAATGTTGCAGGACCTCCCAGGACTTCTCAGAACCTTGAAGGTGCTAATATGCAGGTTGGGCCTCTTCAGGAGTATAATAATGCAGCACTTGTCAACTGTATGAGTTTCTTATGGACTCTGTAAGAAAGAGCCACAAACTGTGTGGCTTAACACAACAGAAACTCTTTCACAGTTCTGGAGGCCAGAAGTCCCAAACCGACATGTCAGCAGGGCTGCATGTCCTTCAAAGACTGTAGGAGGGGATCTTCTCCTGCCTCCTCCAGCTTCTGGCCACTCCAGATATTTCTTGGCTCATAGGCCCATCATTCCAATCTTGGTCTCTGGGGCCACACACCCTTCCCTTCCCCCTGTCTTCTCTCTTCTGTCCCTTATAAGGACACTTGTCATTGGATTTAGGGTTCACTCAGTTAATACAAGATGATCTCATCTCAATATCATTTACTTAATTTCACTTGCAAAGATCTTTTTCCCAAATAAGGTCACATTCACAGATACCTGGGGTTAGGATGTGGGCATATCTTTTTGGTGGAGACAATATTGAACCCAGATGTCTTCCTGGAGGTTACCTGCCCCTCCCCACACTCTTTGTTTTTCTTTGGATGTTTCCATCTGCTAGCATCACCTTTCCCTGTCTGGCAAACTGCCCTGGATGGCTCCAGGCTAAGGGCAGAATTCATCTCCTTGGTAAACTCATCTGCTGTCTGAGCACATACAGTATATCTTACAATGCACTGGTCATCACATCCTCAGAATGTGCTCCCATTTTGCAAAAGAGGAAAACAGAGACTCAGAAATTAAGTAAGTAGCTTTTGGCAGAGCTAGATCTTGGACTGGGTAAAATCTGACTTCAGAGTAAATGCTCTTCAGAGAAGGGGAGAGGGTCAGTGGGATGAGGCAAATCAAGAGAGTGGTCTCAGAACTTGGAGATCCTCAGCTTCTCTCAAGACTGTTGCCTGCCGCCACTCTCAATTGAGCTCCATTTCTCCACTCAGAAAAAAAGAAATGGGAACGGGTTGACCAGAGGCCTACTGGAAGATGGGCTTGAGAAATGACTCATTGGAGGCCTCAAGACCCTCAGAGCCAGACCCTCACTCATAGAGAGCAGGGTTGGGGGTGCTCAGGCACTGGCCCATCTACTCAGGGATTTTGTGGGCATCTCTTTACAGCAACTGGGACTCCAAGGAACTACATGATAATATAACTGCCCCAGCCTGCATGCTGATGCACAGCTATGGACATTGGAGTGACTTCTCTTGTGAATTAGGGAGATTTGCTTTCATTTGTGAGAGGCGCCAGAACTGCTGACCCAAGTCCTTATATCCACACCCTGGGATAATGTAGATCCCATACTACACAGCCTCAGGACCCATCCTTTTCTTTTCTGGGTTCTGAGTTCACAGCAGCAACAATAAAGGACCTTTCTCCAAAGCCTAGTATCCCTCTCTTGGCATTGTGCTTGCTCACCCTTTCTTTCCTTTCCTGATTTCTGTTGAATGGAGGAAGTACCCCAGAAGCAGGGCTCATCCCTGCAGGAGGATTATAATTCTTAATTCCCATTAAGGCCAGGCTCAGCTATGATTATGCTTGGGCCAACGAAGTGTGTTGGGAATTGACATGTGCCACGAGTAAGCAGGAATCTTAAGAGCTTTATGTGGTTCTTCCATCTTTATTTTGCTCTTGCCACAAGACCAGCTCTTCCCAGAGAGGGCAGCTTCTTCAAATTTGCAATGAAGAAGACCCCCTCAAGCAGAGCTTCTGCTGGCCTGCAATGACCATAAACATGACAAAGACATGGAGCTCTATGGTTATCAGCCACCATGATTTTGAGGTCACCAGTTGTTACCTCATCATACTTAACCTAAACTGACCAATACAGAGGACCAAGTTTCATTTCTATTCCTTCATTGGGCCCAAATCACCCGGCACCGTGTATACAGTCTACTCAGAGCCTGACTCTTGTTTTCCTCTTAGAGACCTTCATTAAATTTTATGGTCTATATTGTACAGATGCAGCGGATCTCTATCCCATTTAAAAAAATCCTTCAATCCCTTAATTGTGTCTGACCCTCTTCTGTTAATTCCAAAACCTATGTGAGTTTCCTCCACATTTGCAAGCCTGGATTCCTGAGACCAAGATCATTGAGAAGATGCAGGCATCAGCCATTAGGATTAGTCATGGCCATTCTCTGGACCTGGCCCAGGCTCACTTACTTATACATCTTTCACTCATGGTTACATAGACATGTTACAATAAAGCTCGGGTCTGTCGGAACAATTGTTCTCCAACAAATGCTATTTTGAATTCGGTAAAACACCAATTTGGTCCCTGCTATCTCTTTCCTTAAATCTGAAACTGTATGGGAATGAGATGCACATCTGTATCCTTGACGCAGAGAAGAGAAACATAAAATGCGATTCTCTTCTAGGACCACGGAGATGAGCTGTCAGAAATAGGAGTGGGTCTTGCTCTTTGCTCGGAAAGTTTAGCTGAAGTTCAGCTATTGTAAAAATGCAGGTAGACCAGATGTCTCATGATGATTTGGTGAAGTAGGTCAAACCATGTGCTTTTTTAGGATGCATTTTGCAATTGCTGTAGTGAGTAAAAACTCATAAGTACTTATAACATGGCAAACAGAGTGATTAAGAACTGGGATAGACACACCTGTTACCAGGATGCCTTCCTGGGGCTTTGTAGTTTGTGGCAGAGGGGGAGCTGATAGAACAGGTGTACAGAGCAAGATGGAGTCACTCATGTCAAGAAGTAACTTATGCCAAGCATTGATATAAGCAGCCAAGGGTGTTGCTGCTTAGACCAGATATCACTGAAACCAACACAAGCTGATGGCTTCCAGATCTGGTAACCAGCTGAACCGAGGCCCAAGACTGATTAAACTCCTTTTAAAAAGGAGCATTTTTGCAACAAACTGTCAGAAAATCCAAACGCTGCACTTTCACATCTGACCACACCAAAAAAGGCAATTGCCTGCAAAAAGTCTGCATGACTGATCTCTGAACACAACAGAGGTCCTCCATTGTTTGAACATAATAAGCAGGAGGGCAGAGAGCTGACCCAGTACAGACCAAAGCCTCCTCCCAACTGCATGCTCACAGGCTGACCTTGCATTTGGTTTCATAACTTCTTACCCTTGTTGTTTCTGGGTTGTGGTACCACTTTGTCTTGGGCTTTGCTTTGTGTGAGGTGTATGAAGCCAAGTTAAATATGTAGTAAAATGCCAGTGAGTCCGGATCCTGAAAATGTTTTATAATTATGTTAACCTTGCTTTATGACTGAATAAAGCTGACATAATGGAAAGACACAACATGTGTGTGTGCTTCCATAGCATGCTCATGATGGCAAGTTTGAACAAACCACCATGGGACCTGATCCTCAGTGGGGACGAGTTCAAGTCCAGGAAAATAGTTTTGTCACAGCCCACCTTGACTCTAATATAATATCCATTTATTTTTCCACTATATGCTACATCTGGCCCAAGAATTGCAAACACAAATCCATTTCCTTGAAATTAGCATTTATTTCTATGAATCATTAACTCGTATCTTCATAAAACTAGAAGAAACCTCAACTTGGTTGCTGTGTATTTAAATTTCCAGAGCCTGGAATATAGAAATCACTCAATAATGTTTGATGGATGAATGGATGGAGGAGTTCCAAAGGCATAGGGTAAGGTAGGTAGACAGTGAGTTGATTCTATTCACTGGATCCTGGCTGCTACAGGGCTCTCCTCAGTGATAAAATACCAGTACCAAGCACTTCCTGAACATGTGCTAAGTACCAGACAGCTTATACATTAGGCAGGTGCTATTACTATTGGTGTCCCCGTTTTCAGACAGAGAATCAGAGAGATCCAGTCATTGCACCAAGGTCCCACAACAAGGAAGTGGCTCACCAGGATTTCCACCTGAGTCTGTCTGATGTGAGTCAGTGCCCTGAGGCACAGAGCCACCCAAGCTACTACCTGTAAGTCTCTCTTTGCCTATCAATCTATGTTAAAGAACCTCAAGAGAGCTGAACAGTTCACACTGGTGGCTAGTTAGTCTTTGTTTAAAGAAGCCCCCAAACAAAAAGCCCCCAGAGAATTCAGTGGAGGTGATGTCTTGGGGTAGCAGGAGATTAGGAGAATTGTCTGAATCCACCACCTCCATCCCTGCTCCCATGTGCTCAGAGCCCATCTGCCAGGGCCCCTGGGCTCCCTTCCTGGAGGACACAGAGAGGTGAACTGAGTTAGGTTCATCAGGAGTCAGTCAATGGCATGCAAGAGCACAATGAGACCCCTTCCGTGCACAGCCTGCCAAGCCCAGCTGGCATACCAATCCCTAGAAGCCAAGACCATGGTCATTACTGAACAAGTCACGGGATTTTAAGTGACAGCTGGGAACTCATTAAAAGTTGGCGCACAATTCCCCACCTCCACTTCCTTTGTGGTATTTAAAGAATCCCTAAGGATTGGCCACAGACCTGCAGGCAGATGAGTTTCAGTACACACCTCAAGGCTAGGTAAGTTCAGCTCACTCCAGAGGAATGGTCCCCAGAGTGTTTTACCACTTAATTTCAAGCTCAGACTTGGTGTTTCATTAGCACCAAGAGAAGTTGGTGGGAAATGGAGGTGACCATTTCTTGATCCATGCAACAGATTCTTGGAGCTCAAAGTGGCTGAGTTCTACAACATGCACCATGGCAGAACCATTGCCCACAAACCACATGGTGCCAAGTGGCTATTGTGAACACTGCATGCTGCTGGGCACAGATAGGGACAAAGGTCTCCAGAGCTTTGGGAGCAGCTGAGGCTTCTAATTCCACAGTAATGGTCACTGCATTGCATTATAGTATCACCTGACAACACCTTTGATCCTTCCCCACAGACTAACATCCCTGAGAGGGTAGGACCAGTCTGAATTAGCTTAATATTGTGTGCCCATAGCTGGGCACCTAATAGGTGGTCAATAAAACTGCTGAGAAAACAAACTCATCTCTCATTACAACACTAGAGAAATTAGGTGAGCTGCAAAATCCTCCTGAAATAGGAATGGCTCATCCCTAATTTACCTGAAATTGACTTTTCAGGAGTGACTCTGTGACTGACGTCACAGGAACCCATCTACCCTCTTGTGTGTATCCTAGCCAGTATTTCCTGTAGATGAGTTCCATCCTGTGGCAGTTAGGGTTATGGAGTAGGGTCCTTTTGTTTGGATCCCTGTTTGGCTTTAAACCATCTTGAGCCACTCACTCCTCCTCTCCTGTCCAAGCCCTCTGCCACTTTGGCTTTCTTCCATTCCTGAAAGGGACAATCAAATTCCCACCTCGCATCGCCAGAACGTGCTGTTCCCTCTACCTGACACACCCTTTCCTCACACTCTACCCATAGAGGAGAAAGTCTCAACTGAAATACTCCCTTCTGCATAAAACTCCTGCAGTCTACCCTGCTTTCATAGCCCACCACCTTCCCTTCCTCACTCATCTCATATTCTTGTCTAAATTCAGTTATCTTTCTTCCACCATCTCCCCTCTACTGTCATGTGCACAGAGGCAGGCATGTCAGTCCTGGTCACTGTGGGCTCCCCAGGGAAGGGCTCAGGCATTGTATACACAACTATTGGATACCTGCTAGCTAGGGCTGGATGTCCTCTGAGCCAGAGATAAGAGTTATCTGGCCCACAGTGTTGAGGCCAGTCATGCTTATCAAACTAACCAGCTAGTGTGGTCTGTTTGACTTTACCCAGTTATCAAGGAGCAGATCAAGCATGAGGCTTCCTCCCTCCATGTACCAACACACTGCCACCTAGCAAAATGAGCGGGGACTTCTTAAGCAAGACGATGACCAAGGATTTGAAGAGTTTTTCAGTTGATTTAACTGTCCAGTCTGTAGTTGAATATTGTGCTATACACATTCATGGTGTTCTAGTTTGTGCTAGAGATGGAAAGTGACTGGACCTAAGTGCTAACACTTAAGGCTACCAGGCAAGGAGGGAGAGACAGGCAAATGCTGAAATCATTCATATCCTTGGAGATAAATGTCACGAAGGTGCAGTAGACTCTCAGGACGCTACAGTCCCAGTGACTTCCCTGAAACCCATGGAGGTAAAAAGATCCTAAAAGATAATCCACTGACATTTAATGAGTCCTGCCATGTCCATGAGCCTGGGGTCAGATGGCTTTCAACCAGTCTCCAAGTTAATGCTGGTCCCCAGATGCAGGGTACTCTCATATTAGGGGTATTACTTTCCAATCGGTCGCCTCTGGTGGCTCCCTCCCCCTTTTGTTTATCTTCCGATATCAGTCTGACGTT